AGTGGCCCCATGATGATGATCGGTATGCAAGCGGACGCGAGTAATTAACAATCTGGATTCTAGGCTAGCCCTCCGTTGAAAATATTATTTTATCGAGCTTTTCAGTTTTGTTTTCGGAAAATAACTGTAAAAAGAATCGGGAGAATTTTAATGTAAACAAACTTTAGCTCTGGCGCGTGCCGAAACAATTAAAGAGCAATCAAAAAAGGATTAAATAGGATTAAATGCTCCCTGCTGCTAACGCATGCGCAAATAGGCCAGTTTTAATCCTCCAGAACACTGCAATTTGCAGCGTTGGGTTATCGGCGAATATGAGCAGGCGGGCCGCGATTAACACCCGTTCGGGCGAAAACTAGAAATTGCTGTTACCGCTTTTACTCCGTGTTCAACACCAAAAAAAACTCGCCCGAACGCACCCTTAGATAAAATTCGACTTATTACAGATTGTCAATTAATGGAAAACACAACAATTTGGCATGTAAAGTAAGATCGACTTAGAAATTATTCGACTTAGGCACAATCATCTTAGGCAAGTTTAACTGTATTAAAAAAAAAAAAAAAGAATGCTATATTGATACTATTTATTACCCAGTTATATATGTAATATACTGTATGCAGAGACTACCAAATGCGAACTGAAAACTCAGGTTTCAAAATCACTGTTCACCTTCCCAATTCAAGACTGGTTCTAATACAACACCACTTTGTGTAACAATCTTCAAACTTTATAACAAAAAGCAACCCTCTAATTAGTGACCGAACTCTAAACTTACACTTTCAGATCCAAAAAGTCTCCAATCAGATGGTGAACTGTTCCTTACCTTGAATTTTACAATATTTTTATTTTATTTTTTTTTTACTTTTTACAAATGATGATTATATATCTGGAGAGAATTATCTATGGAATTTATCAATTGATTGATTAATCAGTCAAAAATTAAGGAATGAATCAATCAGTTAATCTATCAATTAGATACTGGTGCTCCACATTGTACAACTACTATATATTTTTACTACTTATTTTAGTTTAACAGTTGTAATATTGAAGTACAAAGTGAGTAGAAGATTTAACATTTAAAATAGAATAAGATATCTCACCATGAATGACAAATGTTTGTAGAGTGTCTGTGTCGTCAGGTCTGTTAAATAGAAAAACAAATACATGTCTAACAAATATCCAGTAATAAACCAATCAACAAATTTAATTTGGTTATGTGAGGTTGCTTCATTGTTTCAGACCTAGGGCAAAAGTTCACCTGGTTTTTTTTTAGCTTCAAGCATCACAGTTAAGGGTAAATTTTATACTGAAAATATTATATAATTGTAGACTTCAAAACTCTATTATGGTAAACAAACTAGCTCTTTAACTATAAACTATGGCAAACAAACTAGCTCTTTGTTCAAATAACAAAGCGACACAAAGGATATTACTACAAAAGCTAATCCATGCTTAGAGCACTCTTGAGACTTTGATATAATGTGCTATATAAATCCAACTACACTATACTAAATAACATCTGATTCTGGAGGTATTTTATAAAGATAAGGTCAGAGGCATTACAAAACATTCTCCAGGCCACATAAAAAAAATTATTGACTGTGCACTCACAGTGGTCGTGGAGCTGCTGATGCTAGAACGAATCCATCTTTATCCCCTTCCTCATCTTCATCCTCATCGTCATCAACTGGCATTACTGGCGAAGGCTCAGTGGCAAGATCCTTTAGATGCTCAGCAAGCACAGCAAGATCCTGCAGAAAATAAACCATAATGTTTATATAAATAAATATATCATTTCGATACATAATTACATATTTTAACTGCAGACGAAAATTTGCATCGAGCTGTGTCCTTAGTTGGCCTTAAGATAGTAAAATCCCAACTTACCACTGCATTAGGGTTTGGTCTGACGATATCTGACGCAGGCCGACGTCTAGGAGCCTCAGGCTGAACCTGTACATATTGCGCCACTTGAGGGCGGTTTGCTAGATAAAGTATATATTTCAATTATTAAAAACTTTATCTAAAATCAGTGTTCAGGCTTTTTAAAAATAATAAAATATATCTAAAAATACAGGATTGTAGTTTGTCCAGATCAATATGACTAAAAACAAATTTAATACATTTAACAAAAATTATTTAATTATTTAGTTTTCATGTACTGTAATTAGTCAGTAGGTATTAAATTATATTAATCAAAATAAATTATAAGTTACATCATTTTAAGGTCTATAATACATACCTGTTTGAAAAAATAAATACATATTTTTTTCTAATTTAACAAATACTAATACTAATTAATGTTTTAATGCTTGTATGTAATAATATTAATTCAAGATTTTATGCTAAAAGAAGTGTAATTCATAATTCAATGCATTTAATATTTATGATATTAATATTATCATATGTTACTATTATCACTGTAATCATGTTATGTGAACGTGAATTTCCAAACATAATTAAGATTATATTTTACAGTGCATGTGAATTACATTATAGTGGTTATATTTATAAAAATTAAATTTAAACAAAATTAAATCGAAAAAAAAAGTGCAACAAACAATTACTGAAAGTGAATAATTCACAGTCACTAGTAGATTTGGTTTAAGTTTTATACATACTTGTGATTGGCCAGTATGGATCATGTGATTTTTAATCTCTCATTATACCAAGGGCCAGCTTTTATTGTGCTTACTAGTAGTATTTATAATTATATTTTTATATCGCAGTGCTATTAACATGCTTATATAATTTTATTTACCATGTAGTTATTAACTGACAGTAGCTCCATGGGTCGCAAAATTCCATAGATACATCATAGTGCTATTAACTATCAATAATTCCAGTTATTTTGTGTCGATATTAGCTAACGGGCAATAACTCTATGGTTACCAGTTCTCCAGTACCATGGAGAACTGACGATAATTCTATGGTTACATAATTTCATATTTACATCATTAACAATAATATAACACCATAGTTATATACCTGCCAACGTTGCTGGCGTCTGATGCGCGAGACAAATAAACAATAAATTTGTATATAGCGCCCTTTATGTAAGAATCATGAAAGAGAGCACCCTCTAAAATATTTTTTTTTTAATTGTAGTGATCAAACTGTTGCCGATTACAGTTGTCGGTCAGTAAACTTTTGTTAAAATAATTCATATGGCCTGTATTTACATTTTAATGACAAATTCACATCATTTTAATAAATTTTAGGGTATTATTGGCCTATACTGTACATTATATCTTTTGAAAATTTTTATGAATTGTGAGACAACAGAACAAAAATGCAAGACGTAAAAAGTGGATGCTCATGCATGAGACTCATACGTGCGAGTTGGCAGGTGTAGTTATATTATGGAGTTATTAACTGTTCCATCAACATAATTTCACAATTACAGTATTAAGAATGACATTGCCATGGCAACCATTATGTAAGTGCAGCCTATGTCCGGTATCCACTTCCATGATCAAAAGATCGTTTTTTCCCATTCACCAAATTTGTATTAGTATAAATTAATGTAATATATTTCTATTAGTGTTATCAAGCCATAAATGTGATATATAAGGGAAAGGGAGCAGGAAGTGTGTACTCACCAACGACGGGATCTGAAACTGATCATGAAGGATATCAAATAGATTAATTTCAGGAATTCCTTACATAGTTTTGAAATAATTTTAATTGGTGTTACTCCCTGCGTCTATCCACACTATACCATTTTAGTGACAAATTTTTGTGATTTGCAAATTATCCAGATATGGGTAGGTGATGTCATGTCCGACCCAATTAAAGGCATGATATGTCATATTATACGCAAATATGGTGTGATATGCTCAACAAGCAATTGGGTACAGATTTGTATCCTAAGCTTCACAGTGTGGGCAATGCTCAGTTTAAGTATATGATTCAGGAATGATCGTCTGAGAGGAAAATGAAATAACCACGTAAGCATGCACATACTAATGTGTGGAATGTACACATAGAGAGGCAAGCACCCTAGACTTACCCATATGCTGCGTGATGATGGGTTGTGGTTTGGGGGCAGCGACAACAACTGGGATTTTGGGTTGTGCGATTGGAGCATGATCTTCTGTGGCGCAAATCAAATACATGCATCACATCAAAAGATAAAAGAAAGATAAATTGACGAATCAAAGCTAAGAAGGTACTCTATCATCAGCCAATCATCTTGCTAGGATCTGTGAACTTTTTTTAGGTATAAATTTGGGGAAGCATTTTACAAAGAAAAACTTGGCTTAACTGATCAGTAGGTTCAATCAAAAATGATATTATTATTCCACCACAGTGTAATTGAGTTTAATCAAGAAGATCAGAAACATTTGATTTCTAAATTCCAATTAAATAATAATATATAGCTTAGTACACCAGCTTGTGCCTCTTAGCTTAGTATACCACAAAATTTACTTGGGGAGCAACAAAAGATATTCTGTGGTCTTGGTTCAATCATAAAGGGAACACATTTTTCACAAGTGTAAATATGCAGTAATGTACAGTTCACAGATGAAGAAATACTCTACAATTGTGTATATAGTATGTAAAAAAATTAATACACAAAGCCCCAGGTCAATTTTCAAGACTGTAGATCATCATATAATACTTGTACATAAATGTATATATATAACTTATTCAATAGACATTAAAAAAAAAAAAAAAAAAAAAAAAAAAAAAAAAACATAAAAAAACAAGTCCATTAAAATTATACAAATATTCGTATATAGTGAACATTATGAAAAAATAAATGTACAGAATCACAAAATTGAAATATTAATAATAACATTCTTTGCAAATAAAAATAAATTTAAATAAATGAAACTAAATGATTGCACATCTAAAGGAGCCAAAACATATTTTTGTGCCATTTGGTACACACAAAAAAAACAATAACTAAATTAAGCAAACAATTTTAAAACATTAACTATTATTAAATAAATTTTATAAATCATAAATATTCTTTAAGAAAACTGCACACCATGATTTTAAATAAGATTTAAAATATAGTAACAAACATGATTAGGTTAATTAATGACAAAAAAAAAGAATGAAAAAAAAAGAAGAAAAAACCAAACTTCAAAGTGATCAGATGTGACAGCAACATTTTTAAAGAATAATCTAATTTGAAATTTAAATAGAATGAAGTATCAAAATGATGATCTAAAATCCTGAATGAATGAATGAAATTACTGATGGTAGTGACAACCCTTGAGGGATTGTGATGACATTACTGATGATAGAGCCAAACAAAAAATTCATGAAAAATAACTAGATTTGTAAAATGAAACTAAAATTGTGATATAAAGTAATGATAAATGATAACAAAATATAACTAAAGGATAGTTAATACTATAGTAAGTGGATTAGACTGTGTTTCACTACTAGCTGGTCACTTCAATTTAACTAATGATAGAGGATATCATCATGTACTTCTTATTAATATGGTAGTAGTTCTTTTAGAAGATTCTATGAAATGCTCATTAAGGCACATTTGAAGCACTCTTAAAATTGAAAAGTAATAAACACTTGGTCTTTCAGTTTCTTTTCAAGTTTTACAAAGGATTAGTTTTCCAAACAATATTAAATCATAACGCAATATAAAGAATATCTTGGAAGAAATTCATCTGGTTATCGCATAGTCAAAATATGTTTTAATTTCTTTTTTGTTTAATAACCAATTTTTTTTTTAAACAAAAAAGAATTATTACATAAACTATCCATTCAAACATGAGTATGCTTAGACAACATTTTCCATACTTTACATTTAATCTTTAGAATTAAAGTTCTCTATTTTCAATTAATTAAACTTTTTATACCTTGTTTCACAAACATGCTGCTCACTGATAATGATTCCAAATAGAAATAAAAATATATTGTTTGCCATGAAAAAATAGAAATTGGTTATCACTGTCATCTGAAAATCTATTCTCACGTTACAACATTTTTCCTTTCAAATAAATTAATTTAAAGCACTTCTGACAGCCTGCACTATGTTTCAAAAATATAGTTTGCAAAGCAAGGTAAAGAAAAGTTTTGATAAAGAAACAAAACAGCCATACAGTATTTTGTACTTATTTTAGATAATTCTTAAATTTGGATGATTTATCAAACTAAGCTAATCAATTGGGACCCATGATGCAGTATACTGTATGCCCTTTTTTTTCGTGATTTTCACGATAAGACGACGATCACAAAAATTAATGGCGCGCAGAAAATTGCGAAATTCTGAATGATTTGTTTTCAAAAGCACAGCTAGCTAGGCCATTACATCAAATTTCACTTCACACAGCCAGAGAGTTGGCCTACTAGAGTGGTGGTACTAGAGCTATTAGCCTAAGTGTACTTTCAATGGAATAAAAATCACAGCATTTTATTTCTTCTATAACACGGATACTTCCCATTAGTTGATAATTAACTATTATAACTCCTAATAAACATTTTGGTCAACTCTGTAAGGCCTACATTCGCTGCAAAATTTCTAATAGTTTAGCAGAAACTCACCAAAATCGGGAACTCTAGCTAAAATATAGACTAAAAAGCATAATTTGCAGGTTACTGCATCATGTTAAAAAGGACTGGAAATTGTAAAATCGCAAAAATAAAAGGTCGCGAAATATTTCAAATTGTTAAGTCCCAAAAATAAAGGGACTCGAAAATAAAGGGCTTTACAGTAACCATGTCTCTTCATGAGGATTGGGGAGTGCAGTTGTTTTTGCAATGATCAAAAACAGATATTGGCGTAGAAGAAAGGTGTACAATATCACAGTCATGCTGCAATAAATATTGCAAATATACTTTTAGCAAAACTGAAAAAAGGAACTACTGTAACAAGCATATGTAGTGTTCATTTGATGAAATTAAGAAAAATGCATACCATGCAATGTTCTACAAATGCACTGTTACGAGAATTGGGTTCTGTATGAAAGCTATCAATTGCCAATCTTTGTAACAAAATGCAGGAAGAAAAAATAAATAAATATAATATTTTAAGTAATTCTTTTCTTTTCAACCTACCGACTGCTTGCCTCTCCCTAGGTCTACTGATTTGTGGTGGCAAAGGGGCTGGTCTACTCTGCTCGATGGGGTGAGGCTGGTGGAAGCCAGGTCTGGACGGTATCTGAGACACGGGACGCTTTGGAACTGGCACTGGCTGATTCTGGATGTCCTGAAAGTTTTTACGTAGAGTGGAATCTTTGGGGCCAGGTAGCATAGAACTAAAGGTGTAAAAATGATTGTTAGTCTTCTCTGTATTTATTTAAAATTTAAACTAATATGTTCAACAGAGATGATTTTTGTATTTATTTATTTATTTATTTATTCTTTATACTGGGTTACCTCTTCAGTAAGAAGTTACTGTTCTCCCAGAGGGCCCAGTACACATAAAACATTAAAATCTCAAGAAAAACAACACAGAATATATAAAAAAAAAAAAAACAAACACAAATTAAGTAAAAAATTACCTACCCCCGCATTCCAAATTCGAGAACCCCTAAAAGTAAAACTTCTTTTCTTTTACAGTGTAATTTAATCTATGAACATTAATAACATCATTCTCCAAAGGAAATATTAACATACTGTTTAAAACAAGTGTTTTCATTTGGCAGTCACAAAGCATTCATGTGTATGCACAGATTGGAACAGGGATCTCAATAGCAAGATGCCATAACTGTTTAATTCATTTTCTGAGAGCAATTGATTGATTTGATTGATTGATTGATTGATTGATTGATTGATTGATTGACATGGGGTCAATCAATCATGAAAGCAATGTTCTTTAAGTCTTGATGTGAAACTTTAGGCAAGCACACACACTGCATTGTGTGAGACCGTCGGCCGACAGACCCATTTCTAGTCTCTGGCCTATAGTAACAAAGAGTGTAGATGACTGACCGAAAGACTCTAATTTCTGTTGCTCATTGCTTGGGTAACAACTAATGATAAATACTAGCCATACCTTGGTTCCCCTTCATCTTGTATCGCTTCATCTTCATCACTCTCCTGACTTAAATAACCTTCATGATCTGTTGTAGAATCCTCAACTAAAATTAATATAATAATGATATATTTTTTATAAAATAGAGTTTACCTAACAAAATTAAACAAAAAAGATAAAAATAAAAAATATGAAGAAAATATCAAACACTCTAATTAAACAAAAACATCATTATAATAAAAATATCAAAAACAACAAAAATACCAATTAAACTAATCTAGGTTTTTATACATTGCTTGTTCATACACAATACGCAAAATCTTTCACTGACAGGAAAATGTCTTTACCCAGGTTCACATTAACTTATTTAAATTAGGATTTTAGGTTGGTTTGCTTACTTCGTTTCTTTTTTGTCCTATCAATATGATCCTTAAGTTGTATCCTTGTTTGGCGTTCGTTCGGCATGTCCTTGATGAATGGATGTTTCAGAAGTTGTGTTGTGTTAGGTCGATCATGGTAATTTTTTATCAAGCATTTCTCAATAAAGTTCTGGAATTTCTTGCTCCTGTAATTTTAAAAGAAATTGAAGAAAAAAAAAGTCAAAATAAATATTTACAATTTGGACCTCATCATACTTCCACCATGAAACCGAATGACCTGTAGAGCTACTAAATACAAACAAACAAGCCACCAACAATAATAGAGGATATTCACAATACACTAAAAAATCATTGCTTACCATTTCTTAGGGCTTTTGAGTTTCGGTGATGGATTTCTAGGAATAAGGAACAGCGCCCTCATCGGATGCATGTCACACAAAGCTGAAACACAGGAATGATAAATAAAATCATGCATATGGAAATAATTGCATAGATGAAGGTACTTACTATCACAATATCACCTGTAAATGAAAATAGAAGAGTCCACTGGTTTAAAATAACCACAAACAAGATTAGGAGGATATGCTGCCTTGGGTGAAAGGGTAAAGATATGTATGTATGTTATAACTGTGTAGGTGACATTCTAGTGAAAATATACTAACATGTATTAAAGTGAAAACTACTTGAATATTAAATTGTGAACTAATTATAACTACATAAATTTATAAAATAGTATTCATCAAGTTGTATATAATGTTATATTCATGTAAAACAGCAAGTGGAATATGCTAATTTGAAAAAAATCTGTTAAATCTTGCAATCACCCAGAAAATAATAACTTTATAATACTAAAACTTAAATAATTATTCATTGTTAGGGTTTTTACTTCATACATATCAATAACTTCAGTTAAAAAACACAACTTCCAAGCTGATATACTAAAACATTAATGTTTGAAAGACATATAACATTAAATACTAACGGGGAGCACCCTGTGCCATTTCCAAGGCTGTGATGCCGAGCGACCAATTATCGCTACGATTGTCATACGTAGCCTCCTGGTTCTCATCACATGCTATAACCTCCGGAGCCATCCAGTACGGCGTTCCAATGAAAGTGTTCCGACGTCCAATGGTCTTATCAAGCTGGGCACTCACTCCAAAATCAACTATTAAAATTAGGAAAAAAAATGTTAATGGTTAGGAATAAAAAAATAATACAAATATGGGGTAGAGTTCTACCAACTAGGTTATCTCTCATTTGCAGCGGTCCTATCACATAATTTTCTTTTCCTTATTGCTTCAAGATTTTTAAGATATATAGTAAAGATTAGGATACTGCAAACCTGTACGGGACAGAGTCAGAATCAAACCGCACATATGTGAGCAACAACCTAAAAATAAGTTGCATTCCACCACCCCCTGCCATATTTAGACTCAGTACCCCCAAATATCCCCTGTACTGTATACTTTACCTAGCTTAACTTCTGCATTTTCAGTGAGAAGAACATTCTGTCCCTTGATGTCCCTGTGTATAACATGCTTAGCATGTAAATGTGATAATCCCTGCAAATAAACAACAAGCATGTGTTAATATTTAATATCATGGTCTGCTGGTACAGTACCTGCAGATTTATCAGTCATGGGTTCAAATCCAATGACTAAGCTTATCCAGTTTCGAAAAAAAAATCCAGATTTAAAAGTCAAACAGGGTTTGTGCGTTATTGAAATTTGGTTACAGTACACTAAAAAATATAATATATAACTTAATTCATCTGTATCAATTATAAATATATAGATTTATGTTATTAACAGTCTCCCTCTAATTAATGACCACCTCTGATTAAAGACCAATTTTTTGTTGTCCCATATGTTAACAATGTCTTTTATTTTTATTATTCTAATTAGAGATCAATGCTGCTAAAGACCATGTAAACCTTTGTCCCAAAATGGTCTTTAATTAGAGGGAGACCAAATGAATATTCATACCCAAGGTAAATGCCTGCAGTGCGTATTTTTGTTTGAATTTTGTTAAGTGCCCTAATGCTCAGTCCTTAACAGTTAGCAATTTATCATTAAACAAAATTGAATCACTGAATAAATTATTAAATTTCATATTTATTTTAATTCTTATTATTTCTAAGAGTTGTTATAAATAAAGGTGTTTGTGTAACTGTTGACCTTGATAATTTAAAACAATCTGACTTCATTTACTTAATAAAAATGTCTATTATAATTTGTATTTTTATTGTTGTCTAGGTCTTTTGTTTTTCTGTCCTTATGTTTGTAATCTTGTTTCACAAGTCTGAAGTGGTGATTTTTATTGCTGTAACTTTTGAAGAAATAATTAAAAAAATAGTATATAAACCTTGTATACTTTTATAAATGATTGCAATTCTATTTTTAAAACATGTTAGTAACTAGATTATGCAAATTACTAACATACAGTTTTGTACAAATATGTATAAGTTAAATGTCACTGAATTTATGCTTAAGTGGTAATCATTAATGCTGGCTCTCTAATCCACACATGAAAATGTCACAATTTTTTACTGCATATGAAATATATAATGCTAATTAACACATTTACGGTACTGCTTATCAATTGCAGTTCATGTTATTTTATATAAAGTTAAATAATTGTTTTTTATAATGAATAATAACATCATGAATCAGAATGTGTCACTTAAATGAGATACCCTCCTCTCAGACTGAATTGTCTTTTTTCCCTTTTTTTTGGCATGTTTTTTCTTGTTGTTTGACTGGATTTTATCTTTAAAAGCTTTTTTATAATTTCATTAATAATAATAATAATAATAATAATAATGACAATATTAGTAATAATAATAATAATGACAATAATATAATAATTAATATTTTTTATTTTCAATGTAACATTTTAATGTTAAAAAAATATATAATAAAAATATAACATAACTAGCACCTAGTGAACCTGTCAAATTATTCAAAGTTTTAATGTTTATATGTTCTTTTAGTTTTTAATGTTTTTAATGTTTATTTAAAATAACTTTTAATAACTCAAAGATCCTTAAGTCAAAGATTCTAAATAGACAAGACACTACACAGTTAGGCCTATACTGATAAAATGTAATCTTAGGGCGTGTTTCTGCTGAATAACGCCTAAAACGTGTGTGTAAAAAGAACTATTAGTAATATTCAATCTGTTTTGGAGAAATTTTATTTGACATTACAATTTCCTTTTACAGTATATAATCTCTTATTTTTTAAACTAGTGTTTTCATTATTTAATTAGTTTCTTTAATATCCTAGGCATGTACCGTAGGCATAATAAATAGCAACCTTTGTGAACCTCGTTTACAAAGACTTTTAGAAATCTCATAAATAATTTCGAAAAAGCTGGCATTTACTGAATAACTGTGTTCCACATACAAAATCTTACTAATAATAAATTATTAAAACGAAATAAATAAATAATTTGTATATGAAAATAATGTTACAAGGCAAGACAAAATAATCATATTCATTCAAGTACTATTTCTTATTTATAAAAATATATATACTTTGGTCTATTCATACTATTGTTTTTTTTTTTTACTATTTAGTATATTATTAGTAAAGCCATTTTAACAACCTTCACTTTTTTTGGTTACACCAATGCTACTAATGTGTCTGATTATTTTAATAAATAAATCTTATGATTCTTAATGAGGATCAAGACATACTGTTAAATTACTTATTATATAATTTTATATTTCATATGCAGTATGTATTGATATCTTACTTGTGTTATGTAATTTATTTCAATATTCTTTCCAGGGGTAACATTTTCTAGATAATCTCTAGATTATATTAACGCTACATGAAAAGACAACTCAAATTTTGTATTCTGTGTAACCTGATCGATTGTCCCTTCCTTAAGGACCAATAAAAAAAATCAGAATGTGAAAATATATTTTACTCAAAAATTCTAAAACGTATCTATGATATAAGGTAGCTACAAACTCACTCTAAGCATTTCTCGACAGATGTAAGCAATCCACTCTTCCTTTAACGAGGTTCCTTTCGTTGCTTTCACCAGGTCAGTCACAGATCCAGCTCCACAATATTCCATCACCAACTGCAAAAAAGACAATCCTCTTTTATTTCAACAGTAACATCCATTATCACCATCATAATCAAAATGGCAATGATAAAATAATTGTTATAACCACAATAGTTATCATAATCCCTTTACATCAGAACCTATTGGCCATGTCTCATCAGGAGGTGATGGCTAAAGTAATAGGCATTTAAAAAGAATTTTTATTGGACCCTAAACTATTTTTTCATTGTTATTTTGAGGCATTGGAAGAATACTGCTCTGGAGTGGATTTATACTTTAACAAAGTGGGTAAGATGCTCCTGTTCCAACCCCAAGATTCACAATACAATTCTGGCAAATAATTCTTATGGGTAATAGACTTAGTGTACCAAGGGTTACCATTGATCAGAGAGCAGCTTAGCTCAGTTGACTAATCTGGTGGCAGCCGCTTGTGTGCGCTGAACTGTGGAGACCTCTAGGTTCCCGGTTCAATTCCCATCGCTGACTCTCCTTCTGTTTTAGCTAGAGGGCTGAAATACAAGTCACAATAGCGCACCGTCTTTCGGATGAGACGTTTAAGCCGTTGGTCCCGTGTGCATTATGGCCTATGTGCACGTTAAAGAACGCAGTACACTCTTTGGAAAAAGTAGGGGATTGTCTCCCGGTGTACTGCCCAATCACTACCAGAAGGACCCCACTGGAAATAAGTCTTCTTCTAGACTTTCGTGGGCTATCCTTGGTGTTTACACCGAATAAATCCAATCCAATCCAATCCTTTAAGCTTCAAAGGCCTCAGACGATTACCTTCACCATTGAATTGTTCTTGAAGAATATGGTGTTTAAATACAAAAAGATGGTGGTAAAATATTCAATAACATTTCTTTTTTAGTGTAACTGACATGTTAGTGGTATCTGTGTATCGTATCATCTTACCCATAACTGGTCATCTGTACCCCGTAGCCGGCCTTTCTTGATGAATGCTCCATAATAAGTTGCAATATTCCTGTGATGTGAATACTAAAAATAATTTTAAAAAAATACAATTATTAGAAAGTATAGAAATATAACTTGTTTGCATGAATATACCAGTACTGAAAACTGTTAACACATTCCTCTTCTTGCACCTTACCCTTCTCCCCCACCCCCATTTTCAGCTCCATTCACCTACTGTATGCTCAGCCCCTTCTATAACTGTGCTCAGCCCCATCTTCTGTGGTTTGCCATCTATACTCGGTGCTCAGCTAGCCCTTTTTCGCACCTTTCTTTCTACCTGTGAAAATATCATCACCTGTTCTCATCCTCCTCCTCCTCCTCCTGTGCTCCATCATTTTCCTATGTTCAGTCAACCCAATCCTAGCTGAGGCGTCACTCTTATGCTTAGTCACCTCTCCTATAGGATTAGCTATTCCTAATACACATAATTCCTCCTAAGATCTATTATTACTCTAGCTGCTATGTTTTTCCCTTTTCCTGTCAACTCAGATATTCAAAATCCATATGCCACAATTTTTGTGCTGACAATATCTACTGTACAGTATTCACAAATCATATATTGCATGCTGACAATATCTACTGTATTCACAAATCATATATTGCATGCTGACAATATCTACTGTATTCACAAATCATATATTGCATATTTCCTATGCAACAGAGTATTCTTCAATTTCCTGTGTTCCACACATTCTTCCATTTCCTGTGCTCTGCACGTTCCTCCATTTCCTGTGCTCCATGTATTATTCCATTTCCTGTGGAAGAATTCTTTTCCATTTCCTGTGCTCCAAGTATTCCAAATTTCTGTGCTTAGCAACCATGGAACCAATTCTTTGAAATTTGTCCTCTTCTGACATGTCAACATTAAGTAAATAACTAGAAATCTGACAGTATAATTAGAAGACTTGACCCATAATTATACAGAGGCATACTCTTTTGTACACTGAAACTAATAGTAGTATCTATACAGCAGCATGTCTTGAAAAGGCTATGGATTTGCCGCCAGTGCAAGTACATCATCAAGGTATTATGAGTTCTCTTATAAAGCTAACTACATGTATGCCTACGCTCTATGTGATTCACATAGAAATAAGATTAAGAACAGTTTTATCTTTATCCGCCCACCTCTGAGAAGCAGTATTGTGGCTGTCGGCTTCAACTCGGTTATAATTTCAAATTGGAATATTTTAAATATCAAATTTAGGTGTACACTAGTGTTTTATTTTGAAATTTATAAAATAAAAATATAAATTTGATAATAAAGTACATACAGTAGAGACTGAACTTAATAGATATTATATTATCATAGCACATAAACAGTAACACTATAATTATATAGGCTACTCTTTAAAATTGACATTCATCATTTATCTATTGCTGCAGTTCTGCCCTAAGTTTCTTACAACAAATTTAAGAATTTTCATAGAAAGTATCTGTAAATAACTGAAAAATAAATTTTTAATATTCATTTTTTTTCTTTTTGTGATTAATATTTATACTAATTTACTAAGTTGACATGTGACTTAAATGAGAAATTTCAAGTTATATTTTAATATTTGAGGCTTTTATTGATTTTTTCGAGTGGCAATAAATTGGGTGCAAATTAATTTAAGAATTTCATGTTACAGCTGTTTTTACAAGTAATTTTCTACCACTTTAAAATACTTATCATCCATAATGCTTTGTTTATCCCTAGTCCAGGCCTCTTCCAGCCAGCTATTCTGTTTATATTTTGTTTTATATTGCCTCATTTACATAATTTGAAAGAACAGTTTGATCCTGTGTCTTTTACATATTCACCTGATAAAGCTGGCTCAAACTACAATGAATGGTCTGAAAATCTTATTGGTCTGTGTGCCACTGGAAATGTATATTTTGATCTTTTAAAATGAGCTAGTCGATGTTTAAACTGGTGTTTTCAGACAGTATATTGATGCCTGTCTAAAAATAGTAATTTTCATCAATCACTTTAATATTTGCAATCTCGGATGTGCTGTAATAAAATGTTTATGTTGCAATAGACGAACAAGTATCATCGCTATAGGATTTCTGCAAGAGTTGCCAAGAGATCCATTGATTTCCTTCGAACTCATTAAAGCAAATTGTTCTACAGAGTTTCTATAACAAACTCATGAATGTGCCTCTCTTGAACATGGACCGCACCCTGAAAATAAGCACATAAGGCTTGCCATCTGAAAACCAGGACACTCACCGACTGTTAAACAGGATAATTAGCATTGTGGCAGTATACAGTACTATACTTTTATTAGTACAAAGTCAATTTTTATGTTTTTCTTAATGACGCTAGTTTTTTTTTTTTTTTGGTTTTGGTCATTTGTGGTGAGCGCCAAATTTCTAGCCAGGTATCTCAATATAAATTGAAATGAAGACTGTATAGTGAATAAAATTATTCAGCTGTTCTAATATCAAAGTCTAAAGTCATTTCCATTTAAAGTGTGATTGTTTATGCATGAATTTGATAGTTTATGCATGAATTTGATAGTTACTATACTAAGTTGAATCACACTGTAAGTAATACAGATAACTTAATTGTGTAGTTTTGTGTGTGAACATACAGTACACAATGATTGTTATTGAATGTCACTAGATACCCAGAGACAACTCTGTTGCATTTGTATTTCTTTTGTGTGTGTGAACATATTTGATGGTAATGGCTGTTATCTCTGAAACTTGTATGTTGGCTTTGTTGTTTTCTGTATGTGTGAACAGTCATTCTTTACTGTCGCCTAAAATACTGTTATAGATTGGTATATTTTTATTGCTATTGTACCACAATATTTTGAGTATTAAAATCTTTCTTATTCACTGTCAATATACTTTCCAAAGGATTAAACTGTATGCAGAGCTGATATTTATTTTTTACTTTTCCTTTATTTTGTTATATTTATTATTTTTGTTGGCTGACACAACCAAATTTGGGCTAACAGTATCAAGTTGCTGACATTCTTGTGTGAGAGGCCCAATCTAAGGACAATTTTCATAGTCAGAGGCACAATTAAATTTTTTGTTAGTTGTCGGCGATGGCCACTGAACTGCGTCCAATCTCAGTCACTACAATAAATTTGCTGTTCAGTTTCAAAAAGGATTTTCTAATATTTTTGGGGCATCGTTTAACTAGAATGAATAGCTAACAGATCACTGGTTTTGTGTGTCCTTGTTGGTGGGTAATGATCCCTTTAAAATTACAATAAAAGATGTAAATCGGATGGAATGTTCTTTCTTCTTGGTCCGACGGTATTAAAACCGAAAGACAAAGTAAAGCAGGAATGCCTATTTATATTGTTTACATTTTTCTCACCGCTATTCTGAGTACAATTATCGCCAGCAGAAAGATGTCACTGCAGCAAAACACTATTGTACCATGGAGGTCATGATTGTACCAACGCTGTTCTAATAATATATAGACAATGGGTCGTGCTCAATTATTTGTTATATTTTTATTATTCATTATTTTCACTTGACTCGCATAAATAATTTTGTTCGAAGAACATTTTATGCAGTTGTACTTCGTAGCACTTCACTTGCAATTTGCAATTTCTAGTTATATTTATTATTTTTGTTGGCTGACACAACCAAATTTGGGCTAACAGTATCAAGTTGCTGATATTCTTGTGTGAGAGGCCCAATCTAAGGACAATTTTCATAGTCAGAGGCACAATTAAATTTTTTGTTAGTTGTCGGCGATGGCCACTGAACTGCGTCCAATCTCAATCACTACAATAAATTTGCTGTTCAGTTTCAAAAAGGATTTTCTAATATTTTTGGGGCATCGTTTAACTAGAATGAATAGCTAACAGATCACTGGTTTTGTGTGTCCTTGTTGGTGGGTAATGATCCCTTTAAAATTACAATAAAAGATGTAAATCGGATGGAATGTTCTTTCTTCTTGGTCCGACGGTATTAAAACCGAAAGACAAAGTAAAGCAGGAATGCCTATTTATATTGTTTACATTTTTCTCACCGCTATTCTGAGTACAATTCCATCCAGATGTGTTTATTGATTAATCACGTAGTAATTATTTTGTAGAATAAATTCATTTTTTAGGTATAAAATTAAAATTCTTAGTAAAACTTCAGAATTAAAACTTTGAAAGACAATTATGACCATGTGATAGTAGCGGTGGTACGTACAGACACCACCACTTGTGATAATCACATTTTTAAAAAAGCATGATCCCATCAGGATTCGAACCCATGACCTTCAGATTACTGTTTGGATACTCTTCAAAATGTATAACTAAGGTATTCAAATTTTAGGTCTATTATCATGGTATCAAACATAAACAAAGAAAAATTAAAAATGATAGTTATATCCAACATATTTTTTCTTAAATTTTATATGAAAAAATAAATGAATAGATTGCATAATATAATTCTACAGTACATAAACAACATACAAAAAACAAACAAGTATTTTTTTTTAGGTAGGAGTCTTTACATAAAACAAAAATTACATACTTAATTAAAGAGTGTCTAAAAGTGCTTTTAAAAAAAATGAAATTAACTACTGGTAAAAAGAATATAAAACATTGAAAATATTCTGGATCTCAATTTGATGAGAAGGTCCCTAAAAATAAGTTGCAGATATCTTTCACCATGTACAACAAAAAAGAAATTTATAGAAAGGTTGAAAGAACAGGTAATGAGTGAAGAATGGATCAGATTAAGAGGATTTAGCAGAGACCTGGACATTTGCACTTAGGGAGAGGTTTTGCTTTTTTCCCCTGGATTGTTCTACGTCAGCCAAACATGAATCCCTGCTTTCTAATGCTGTATTATTAATCCAAACAGATTTTATGAGGCTGGAAACAGTTGTGCATCGTAAATCAGTCATTATAAAATCCTTGCAAGGAACTCAAAGATAAAAATAAAACTAAAGAAAAGAAGTAAATTTGAAATTGTTACCTTCTTCAGAACATTTATTTCGAGTTTTATTTCTTCCTCCTCTTCCTGTTCAGATAAGAAAATACATCCCATTATATAAGATCCATTCAAATTACTACAGTAAATTAACCCATGCACCAACTTATAATAAATTGGTAAATTACAATTCATTAAGATTTTTATTTTTGTTTGGGGAGAATCATCATTCGATAACTGAAAAAATATTGATTCTTCAACTGCAAAGATAATTTATAATCATTGTAGAGAACTCAATAATAGTCTATTTACACTGATAATTAACATAAATAATAATAAATTTTAAAAGAAATATAATTTTAAAGATTTGAAAAATTCAATTTGATAATTGGGACAGAATGCAGTACTCATTACACTGATAATCAAAAATGTTTTTAACAAAAAATATTTAAAAAAATTTGATATTAATTATTTGAAAAATGCAATTCAATAATTAGTGTAGAATAATCCTTTAGACTGATAAATAATAAAAAATGTATTTAACATTAATAAAAATAAAAAGAATACGATATTAAAATTTGAAAAACTTGATAAGGGGTCGTTCAAGATTATAAACATTTTCACAATTGTGCAAACAGTACGCTACTGTAGGGGGAGAGGGTAGACAAATTTGTACACTTTTACACGCATAAAAATGTTGATTCAAAATAACATGCAATATGTAAAACAATGGTAAAATTATAATGTAACCATGGATATAATATTCATTTTTAAGCAACCAAGTACATTCCTTTAGTTGATTTCACAAAAAAATAGAGAATGATTTTACAAAATCAACATTCTTTGTGAACTTCCAGAGGGCAGGGGGGGGGGG